CTGCCAAAGCTCCAACATATAATGGTCTATGTCATGGTCTTTCATGTGGGAGATCAGGGTTCAAAACCCAGCTAACTCAACTTTAACAAAAAAATCTATTCCAACTTCACATTGTCACTCAATTGCCTTAATGAAAAACACCTGCTGACGTGACAGGCACAAGCTGGTATAGAAAACACATTTGAACTTGGTCAAAGTTCCTTCTGCAAGTCCAATGCTGCAGGCAAAGCACATGGCAATGCACACTTGTTTTTACATAGTAAAAACCCATGTCTAGTATTAATATTGTACCTTTTATATATGGATGTGCATTATTGTACTGAATAAATTTCAGTTTGGTTTGTTCATGTCCACATCACTTACTTTCATCCCTCCTTGTGTTTTCTGCTCATCAGGAYGGCCGACTGACCTGGCCTGAAATGCTGGACAAGCTGGAGTTCATCCAGATCAGCACCATCACAGACTACGGKGGGATGAGGGTGGACGAACATGACGAGCTCTGACTTCTTTCATAAACAATTACCAATTAGTACAGCCTATAAACCTGTGTGGCTTTGGATAAAAAGTTGATTTTATGACAGATTCATCAGAACCAGTGAGRTGACACAGAGCTGAGGAGAAACAGTTTATTAAAATAAAACTGGTCATATTTCTTGTTCAGAACAAAACATTTGAACAGATAATGTAAGTGACCCGTCACCTCAAACTGACCATTAAATCCATTCTTGGYATGTAGGGACGTAGAGCACAATAACTCAATTTTGTTAGAATATGATGAAGAAATATTTTACCTCTGGGTCAGTTGAAGGAAATGTTTTGAAGCAGTTTTCTGAGCCGAACAGTTTTATATTTCAGATACTTTCTCTGCTGCTACAGAAGCTATTCTCAACATCAGCTGAGAAAGCCTGATGTCCAAATATGGTTTCAGGTTTCCTTTTTCAAATGACATCAAGAAATCCTCATTAGAATGAAAAAACAATCCTGATTAGCAAGACAAGTGTAGAACCACTCATGATATCAGGATGCTCAGGTGTCTTTAATTTAATCTGATGTACTCCTCAGGTGGATGTGATGAGTCTCTAAATGAAARTAATACTGTTCTGTTCCATACAGACCACCCACAGAATAAATCTCTTTAAAATGTAAACTAGAAGAAGCGTCTCTGCTAACAGATCAAGTCTCTTTACAGGTYTGAAGACAAAGTTACAAAAAAAGAAAAAAGAAATAGCATCACTTTATTCTTCCATGACTGAGCTTTAAGATGTTCTGATGGAACTCCCTCAGCTCAGGCCTGCATCACTGGTCGGGCCTCTTTGGCTTTCAGTTCTACTCCAGAAGCTGCGAACCCAGTTCCACCCTGTCAGAACAGAACAGACCATCAGAACAGAACATAAACCAGCCTGAAACATCAGGTCCTGTTCTACTTTCCTGACCAGATTTGAAAACAAATCTAAGTTCATTCTATAATCGTCCCTGTTTTGTTTTGAGTTAGAGACAGCATGAGGACAAATGTCCACATGGGTCCACTTGGTTCTGACATCCTGTCATTAACATCATCTGAGTTCTACAGGATCAGAGCATGAACATTACAGACCCTCTGTAGGGGGATGATATCTCTGTCGCTCAGCTTGTCTCCGGTCACAGGGTCCATCATGTCCTTCCTGATCAGCTTCTCCACACACTCCTGGGTCACCACGGCCCCCCTAAAACCAGTCCCAGTTAGTCTCACAGGCTAGAACACTGAAACACAACACTACACCTGGAATAAAAAAATCACAGAAGACTGGACTCACGATGGTTTGAGAACCGCACTGGGAACACTGTTGCCCAAAGCGTCTCTGGTCACAGCGCACACATACCGCTCCTGAAGGGAGAGAGCAGCATTAAAACCAACAGAACCAGAACACACACATACCAGGCTTGGGCGGTACGAAGGTATTTTGTTGTACCGGAGTATTAAAATATGGTGACAGTAGGGCTGGGCCATATCATATCATTCACGATAATACCAGTAAAAAAAACTTGCCCAGGAAAATAATTATATCAGGATATGCTAATTTCATGGCAGACGTCATTTTGCCCATGTTGGAGAACCTGCTTGTTTCTGTTGTCTCGTTAAAACCACCCAGTCTGATACAGGTTTAAACAGACGCTGCTTTCAACAAATCAAACGAACCMCACAGCTTTATCCAATCAGAGCAGAGTAGGGCGGGTCTTTCTGATGTCAGTGCAGCAGTCTGCAGGATAAACACCGGTCAGCCTGCAGCTCCTGTCCTGAGTGAACAAACCCCGTCCTCCACACTTCTCTCCTGACCTACCAGAGACGTTGGGATCTAAAATCTAACACTATAAGTTTATGTGTTCAGAGAGTCGTTATCTATATGTCCAACTTTGCTCATGTGACCAAACTCCTGTCCTCGACAGCGCTGTTACAGGAGCACACTGAGGTGCACACAGGCTGAGTTGTTCTGTGGGAGCCGCTGCTCTTTCAAATAATTAACTCAGATGAACACTTTGCCCCAGTATAGAAAAGACGAATCTCCGCTTAGCGTTAGCCTCCGATCCCCAGAAAAAAATAAAAAAACGCTATGTTCTTATAAATATCTACACATTTTATTCTTCACAATATAACTTGCTTATATTTAGAACCACACTGTGACTGAACTGCTCTGTGATTCAATAAATCATCAAATATAAAGAATAAATATATAAATGATTACATGAGCTCTCTAAATAATATAAACTTTTTGAAAAAGAATAGTTATTTTAATAGAAAAATATGTCAGTCTAACAAATAAAAAATGTATGCWGTACAAAAGACATATTTGGTATATTTTTTAAAATATAAGTCATAGTACATACATAATGTGTTTGTTTGCACTGAAAAGTTATAATATGGAGATGGTTAAATATTTGAATGATTATATCTAACTCAAGTCTTGACAAAAAAAGTTTTTTATCAAATATATTAAAAACACTAAAATGGTAAATATAAACTACAGAAAAGCTGTTCAAAATCAAAACCTCTCTTACAAAATCACTTTGGTCCAAATGGTTCAGGTTAAAGTCTTTGTATAATATTTCATTAGAGAATACTAAACTGTACTTTGACTAAGAACATGGACACAGTGTATAGTGTTATGACTAAACTATACTGTGTACTTGTGTGTGGTGGGGGTGGTAAGACTTATCGTGCATTTATCGTTATCGAGGTGAACTGGTCAATATATCGTGATTTTGATTTTAGGCCATATCACCCAGGCCTAGGTAAGTAAGTAAAATGTAATGACAGTACGAGTCATGTGAGACCAAAAGGCTGCAATGAAAACTGGGACATCATAATATTCTGGGCTGTTTCTGAAGACGCCCTGTAACGTCACAGAYGTGTTCTGACCACCTCAGCTCAGAGTCACCCCCCGTCTGTCACGCCTCTTAACATTCACGAGACGAAGAAACAAAAAAAAAAAAAAAACTCTGAGCAAGTTAGAAACAGAAAAGATGGGGTGGTGTAGAGCAGACTGACAGCTTCAGGGACAAACCAGCTGCAGGTTTTCTAAGTCAAACCACCAGAAATGGACTCCTTTCAGATTTAAATTTTGTGGGGKTTTTTTTTTTGAGACCTAAAAACTCCTCACGGCAAAAGAGGAAATGAGTACGAATTTTATTGGCACAAACACTGGCTAAAAGGATGCAGCAGCGTGGATATAACCATGGTATGAGTCAGACTATTTTGAAACTTAAACCCCTTATTTGACCATATTTTGATCTGTTCGACATAATAAGGGGCAAGGCAACACATCAGAGCAGAGTTTTTTTCCCTCACATCTCTGTCTGGGTGTAGAACAGGGGTGAGCATCAAAGACCACAGCCCTGCATGTTTTACTTGTTTCTCTGCTCCACCTCACCTGATTTGAATGAATGGGTTATTATCAGGCTTCTGCAGAACTTGGAATTCACTGACTGAATCAGGGAATAAAGTACAACCTGCAGGGCTGCGGACCTCGAGGACCAGGATTGCTCATGTCAAGCTGCACTCATGTTCTGTTATTATTAATTACTCCACACACACAAAACAATACAAATTCTTAGTTTCAAGCTTTAATATTTTCTATTTTCCACAGTGAATCAAGACTGGGTTTATCAGATTTTATCATTGCATTCTGTTTGTATTTTATGGAGCCCGCGAGGGGACATGGGGGGATTTTTTTTCTTTTGTGTTCCCACGCAAAAGTTTGTTTTGAATAAGAACTGAATTAAATCAGACTTTTATTTTGAAATATCCGCTTACCAAAACAGGATGTTGTCACCACAGTTCATGAAATTGACATTGATGACACTCCGTGTTAAAATATCGGCATATGACATACTTCCATGCGTGGCTGTGTGATATATTCATTCTGAAGCTGAATTAAAGCAGTAGGCTAACTCGCTAATGGTGAACATGTGAGTTTGTTGTTAAACCGGTAGGCACAACAGTGATAAACGACTTTTGCGAGGTAACGCAATACTATTGCGTGGGAACACAAAAGAAAAAAAAAATCTCCCATGTTCCGTTGCGGGCTCCGTAGTATTTAGATTTTACACACGTGCAGAACTTTTTAAGAACTGGGTTTATGGTTTGTTGTCTAACAGAGCAGGATGGGGAAGTTTTAGCCTCCACAGTTTGACACAGAGAGGTGTTCAGTAACAGTGTTCATCCTGCAGGTCAAACTCTAGGCTCTTCCTGACAAACATGTTCAGCAGTAAAGGACAAACACACACACACACCATTTCCTTCAAAAATAAAACAAAAAAGGACTGAGCAGCACGTGTGTACAGTGCACCTCGTTCAGTAAATTTGACTAAACTGTGTGACATAAACTGATGCAGAGTACACTGACCTGCCGGTTCAGCAGGGCCACCCTGTCCAGGCTCGGGTCCAGAGGGGTGAAACGCACCGGGATCAGATCATTCATCTTAATAGGTTGTCCAGACATGGGACACAACACAGCTTTACTCTGAGAGAGGACAGGATGGACAGAAAACAAAGTATTTATACACAGATTTTACCTCCCTGACAGACAAACACATCCTGTCTTTAAACAACATCAAACACAGATTAGACAGACTGAGAGCATGGTGACATGAACATGACAACTGATAAAACACACACACACACACACACACACACACACACACACACACACA